AAATTATGTACGCCAACTAAATCATTTGTGGAAACAAATAACGATGGACACAAATTATAGTTTGTAGCCCATGAAAATTATGAACTTTGATGAAAGAAAACTATAAGTAGTTCAAAACAACAAAAATGGACAAAAATTATGATTTATAGCTCTTGTAAGTTAATAATTTCGAAATACATCAAATATTTACTGCTGGGTTGAAAATAGATGAATCTGGAAGTAATTGTAGGATAAGGCTCGTGAGAAATTGTGAACTTTAGAGTAAAAACTTAATTGCTATAGGCTGAAACGTTAAAAAATGGATCATGGATCATAACCCATAAGAATGGAGAATTATGAAGTACATCAAATTATTTGTCATTTGGGTAAAAGCCCATAAAATCTACGAATTTTGAAGTACAACAATTTTTTGCCATTGGATTGAAAGAGATGAAAATGGACCAAATTTTTGATTATAACTTATGAAAATCGTGAAACTTAGGGAATGAAATTTTAATTGCCAAAAGAAAATGGAAAAAAAAATAAGGGTTATAACCCATGAAAAAGGCAAAATTTGAGTATGCCAGTTAACTTATATTGGATAGAAAGGACCGAAAAGGAATAAAAATCGTAGGTTATAGCCTCTAAAAGCTATAAATTTTGAAATACACCGATCATCTTCTATTGGGTTGAAAGAGATGAAAGTTGACCAAATTGTGGATTACATAGAGGCACTGTTTTAAAAAGCCTTCGCCTAGTCCGTCTAGACGTACGCCTAGGTCTAGGTGGTACTTAGGCCGCCTAACTAGGGCTTAGCGCTTGGGTGGTACCTAGGCTGCCTGACTAGGTTTTAGGAGTGTTTAGGGGAGCATTGTCTGCTTGCATGGACTGCACACTTTAGACCGTGATCGTGATTTTCTATGTTGCAACCTTCACGTCCTTCAAACTCCTTTAAACTCTAAATATAAACACCTCCATTATCTCCTTCGACCTTCAACAAAACCTCCTCGACAAGCACTTAAATGAAAAAAGAAATCCGCCTAGACATCAGTCCGACATCTAAGCTTTCTATAACATTAACATTTACTATCAATTATTGTAATTAAAAAATAAAAATAAAACTCGTAGCCTCTAGGCATCGGATCCAATGCCTAGACCTCCTATCTATAAACTTATTAGTTATTATTTTAGCTATTTAGTTTAAATATGCATAGTTTATTGTGGATCTAAGATCGCTATTTTTTTGACAAATTTATATGAATTTAATACATGTACTTATCAATTATTATAATTAAATAATTTAAAAATAGCCAAATGCTTAGGCGTCTAGGCGCTAGGCACTGGTTCAAACGCCTAGACCGCCTAGCGCCTTCTATAACATTGCATATTGTTTATGAAAATCGTGAATTTTGGAAAAAAAATCATAGTTGTCATTAGCAAGAACAAAAATGAAGAAAAATTATGGTTTATAGCCTATGAAAATTAAGAATTTAGAAATACGCCAATTGTTTGCCTTTTAGATAAAATTGGAGAAAATTGTTTTTTATATAGTCCATAAAAATTGTGAATTTGGAGGAAAGAAAACTTAATTGTCATTGGGTCAAAACAATCGAAAGTGGACAAAAATCATGGGTTATGTAACCCATGAAAATTGTGAATTTTTAAGTACGTCACTAAATTTCTATTGAATCGAAACATATGAAAATAGACAAAAATTGTAAGTTAGTCTATGAAAATCATGTAGTTTGAAGAAAGAAATGTACAAAAATGTGGTTCCAAACTATGTAGCACGGACACGGATCCGACACGGCCATCCGACACGCCGACATGAGGCAAATCCTAACAAATACATAGGATACGTGTGGTCGACACGTGTGTCTGACACGGACACGACACGACACGGCTTCATGTTATGCGTGTCCGTGCTTCATAAGTTCCAAATGACAAAAATGTGGTTTATAATCCTAAAAAATTGAGAATTTTGTAATTTGTATATTTTCCATTGGGTCGAAATGGATGAAAATGGATAAAATTGTGAGTTAGAACCCATGAAAATCGTGAATTTTAGTAAAAAAAACATTATTACCATTTTGTTGAAATGATCGGAAATGGACAAAAATTGTGGGTTATAGCCCTTGAAATTGGATAATTGTGTAAACGTATTATTTGTCATTTGGTTAAGAAGGATGAAATAAAAAAAATTATAGTTTTATAGTCCATAAAAATCATGAATTGAGGAAAGAAAACTTAATTGTCATTGGGTCGAAATGATGAAAAGTAGACAAAAATCATGAGCTATAAGCCTATGAAATTTGTGAATTTTGAAGTATGATAATTTTTGGCGCTTAGATTGAAAGAGATGAGAATGGACTAAACTATGGGTAGCCTATGAAAATCTTGAATCTTTAGGAAGGAAAATTTAATTGTCTACAGATATTGGACAAAAACTTATGGGTTATATCCCATGAAAATACAAACTTTGATGCAAACCATTTAACTACTATTGGGTCGAAACAATTGAGAGTAAACAAAAATCATGGGCTACTGCCCATGAAAACTATGTATTTTGAAGTATGCTGATTTTTCCCATTGGGTTGAAAGAGATAAAAATGGACAAAATTGTGGGTTGCTAAACTCATGAATTTTAAAGGAAGAAAACTTAATTGTCATCAACATGAAAGGAGCAAAAAACGAACCAAAATTGTGGTTGCCCATGAAAATTAAGAATTTAGAAGTGTGCCAATTATTTGCCATTGGGTCAAAACATATAAAAATGGAGAAAATTGTTGGTTATAGTCCATGAAAATTGTTAAGTTTGAGGAAAGAAAATTTAATTGTCATGGAGTCAAAACGATGAAAAATGGACAAAAATTGTAAGATATATAGCCCATGAAAATTTTAATTTTTTAAGCATGCCAATTAATTGCCTTTGTGTCAAAGCATATGAAAATGGACAAACATTATGGGGTTATAGCCCATGAAATTCATGAACTCGGAAGAAAGAAAACTTAACAGTTAAGTGGGTCAAAACAACAAAAATGGAAAATTTTGGTTTATAGCCCTATGAAATTTAGAATTTTGACATTCGCCAAATATTTGCATTGGGCTGAGATAGATGAAATGTACAAAATAGCAGTTAATTGGCATCGAAGTCATCATGGGTGAAACTTTAGAGTCTTAAAGTGAATAATTGGATATAACCCAAAATTAAGTGCAAACTTTTTTTCCCATAGTATTCATACTGCAATTATAAGAGGGCAATGTACTTGTAACAGGAATAAATTTGTAACAAGAAAAAAAATTATTAAAAACCACTACACGTAAAAAAAGTTATTTTAGAACCAACAGTAAATATTCATCATCTGGACACCCATATCTGTAAAAAGCCTGAGCATTTTTCAGTGGCTACACTTTTGCATTTCAAACCAACAGTAAATATTCATCATCTGAAATACACCCAATATGTCTATAGAAAGTGTAAGCATTTCTATTCCTACTATTTTGCATTTACTGTCCAGGCAAGGTGTTATTTGCAAATTTTAATAATAGGAGTAGACTTTGAGATATTTTGGAGTCAAAAGTACATGAACCAAAGTGGATGAGCGTATATACATGAAACAAAACATTTAATATGCATAAAGTTATTGCTATTAAAGGTTATTGGTTTGTGGTAAACTTAATCGATTCAAAAAGTTCTTTAAAACTTTTGTAATTTCCATGTTGTAGAAGGCATTCCTAGTGATATGTATGTTTTCAGGCAATGATAAATAAATTGAAAGTTATCTGGATTTAAATCTTTATGTTGATTTTGCAAGATCAAGTCAAATTTCTTCTGTTAAAGTCTAAAGGGCCAGTTCCACGTCACTTGCTTGTTAATTGCGGATCAGGTTATGGAAAATCTTTATCTTTTTGTTAAGGAAAAAAGAAGCTTCTCTAACTCTAGTTTTCAATTAATTCTTTTCTGAGAAGTCACTAATTTAGTCATTTTTGGAGGAACTAAATTAAATCTCTGAGGGGATGGAGGATACACAGAAAAAAAAAGCAAAGGGCAATTTATCCATTGAAGCCTGTAAGGACAAAATGTGCGGTTAGCCACAAGGTCTCAATGTTCAATATTGTGTTTGATTTTTTTTTTAATTCAAATAACACAATCACGAACAGAAACATAATAGCAATAACAATAAATACAAACACAAACACAAACACAACAACAACAAACACAAGGACAAGGACAAGAAATTATAATGAATCGGTGCAAGAATCAATGACAATCTGTAGATTCTGTTCTAAATTGTAGGATTTATTTCATAGAACATGAAAGGTTTTTCGGTGGGGGGGGGAGGGGGTGGGCGGGGCGGGAGGCTGGCGGGGGGGGCGGGGGGGGATGGGGGCCGTTGGAAGGGAGGGGCGCGGGAGGATTCGGTGGGGGCGGGGCGGGGGGGGGGGGGTGGGGGGGGGCGGGGGGGGGGGACGTCGGGGGTGGGGGCGGGGGGGGGTGGCTGGGGGGGGGGGCTTATTAGAGTTTCTATTTGCAATAAGTACTTAGAGTTCCAGGGCACTTTGATATCCCAAAAATAGATGGCCGACCTTGCATTTTCTGGGGTGTAATTTGTAATTTTATATTCTTAATTCAAGGAACTTTGAAGCTAGCCATCCTGAAAGTAGGTGGCACAACCATAACCTTCCCAGATAAAGGTATTAGTTAGTAGATAAGAACATGAGCTTATTAAGCAACTGATAGTCTTCATCCTCATGAATTTTTAGTTTGCTCAAGCATCTAAATAGAGCTTCTGCTGTTTGACCACCCCTTTATTTCTTTCCGATTATATTCTTAGAACTCGTATCTGCAAATCATAAAATTGAAATCTCGTCATATTAGTTTGTGAAATTTCCTGATTTACACAGATAGTTTGTTATCTAGTTATTCTATCCTTCTTCAAGTTTAACTTGCAGTTTTCCTACCATTTTATGAGGATATATTATAAGAAATCATTGTCAACGTTGCTCTTGATGTTTTACAGCTTACTAACCAGTTCCCCAAGGAAACTACCAACAGTTCAGTACCTGCATCTATCCTCATGCCTCACCTTCAAAATCTTGTTCAACAGACTTCATTTCAACAAGTACAGAAGAGTTCTCATTTTTTTTTTTTATTTAACTCTTTCTTCATCATTTTTTTAATGACCCATGTTATCTTTGTGATTGTATTGGGCCTTAATCATCCTTTTTGACTACCAGGATTTAATCATGAATCTGTTGAGTAGCTTACAACAGAATGAGCTAGTTGATGGTCAGTAAAAAAACTGAATCTAATTACAATTTTGCAACCTTTGGGTGTGTTCTCATTAATTTGCACTCATTTTGCAGCTTCACAAAATGGAACGCCTCCTCAAACACGCACTTCAGAGAATAATGTGGTGAGTGTGCATATATTCGGATTAGCTCTGGTTATTTTTGTGTGATCGATACTGGTTTCTTGTTTAGTTCTGTTTTCCGCTGCACTGATTAAGAAACGTTTTTTTAGTCTGTATTGGTAAGGTAACCAACTATTTGCGTAGACAAATTTAGTCACAAAGCGTATCGAGAGCAAGTGATGACTACATGAGTTTCTTCTGCATTTAAGTTCTACTTGAGTTTTCTGTTAATGGATCAGGCTTGTCTGTCTGAATATCAGGGATTCGCACATTCATATACCAGTTTGTGCCTCTATCTGTATTCATGTATTTCTTTATAGTATATGTTCTTTCTCTGTAATCATTTCTGGGTCGGCCTAATTCCTGCTATGTATCCTAGAGCAAGGTTCAAGTCATTACTTGTCTTCAGCTCTTAAAACCTGTGACTATTTGGTCTTGCCCATAGTAATTCTTTACCCCTTATCTTGACTAAGTCTAAATATCCTATTATCATTTTTTGACAGGCTGAAACAGCATCTACGGAAAGAGAGCGTCTTCTACTTTTGAGAATTGCAGACCTACAAGCAAGGTAGATCATCATCTCAATCAAGTTATCTTTCACGCAAACAAGGAAAACATGCTGCACAAGTAAAAGTTCACAAAACTAAGAGGGGAAAGGGTTGGTTTTCTTTTTTCTTTTTTTTCTTTTTCTTTTTTTTCTTGGTTGGGATGCGTGTGCGCGGGGAGGGGGTGGAGTGGGGTGGGGGTGTTTATTGTTAGGGTGGGAGGAGGTTGCCTGGCTTATACCCACCTCTTTATCTGCTCTTGTTAATAAAAGAAAGCCCTATCACTATTACTTTGTTACTTTTTTTCACATATCATGATGTATTTCTTGGTCATCTCTGCTTGTTTCCTATCTCTGTATTCTTGCATTCATTGTTTTCCTTTGCTGTAACCATCTGCAGCATAGCCTATTGTCCAAACTCTTGTTACTTTCTTCCTGTTTGAGCTTAAAGAAATGGAGAAAAGCTCTGTCATTTCTTGAGGGCTTATTGAATTTCTTTAAGCTCTCTACTATCAGTAGTCCCTTGCTTTCTGACTCTTGCTATCTGGTGCTTCGAGGGAAATCTTCAAGGGTAACTTAGCCATCAAAGTACTTCTGTAGATGCCATTCTACACTGATATGAAGCTGCCAATGCGAACATTTCCCCTGAACCATTTTATGTATTTTTGTACCTCAGCAATGCTCAAAACTGGCTGGAAATAAAGATGATCGTTAAGGACATGAAAATGAACTTTTAGTTTTAGCGTGAAGTCTGGAGATAATTGTCTGGAGGGAGCTGCCTAAATGGTTATTTGAACATCTTATATGATAGTTAACATTTATTGGTTATCAGAAGCTAAAAGAGCAAGGGACTGCTCATATTAGACCTTGTTTTCACGTGACCATAATTTCTTCAATGCAGGATGATTAGTCTGACTGATGAATTGACTGCAGAAAGACTTAAACATAATCAGGTTAGTTGAGCTTTCCTTTCAAATCTGATTAATGTTTTTGTTTTAACTTTTAAGGATACATTAAATTGTAATTAGATTTTTGAAGTATCTTAATCATTATTGATATTCAAGACTAAAAGATTTTATGCATATTTTAATTTCACTCTAACTACGCAACATTCTTTTTCGTAAACTTTTTAAGTAATTTGCTTGGAACACAGAAAATTTAGTATTTGATATGCTACAGTGGAGCATTTAATACAATCTCTTGTTAACTTTTGAACTGCATATTGGATCCTCACTCCAGAGTCGGTCATTTAGCAAATTGTATTTTGAAATGTATCTCTATCTTTAGAGGATGAATTTCACACTTAAAGAGAATAGATTTCACAGTAGTATCTCCACTCTTCAATCTAAATGAGCAAGCTGCACATTTGATATAATCTTGGAGAACTTTGTGGGGAAGTTGAATTTCTTTCAAGACAAACATATGAAGGTGGCACAATTCTCTGGGATAAGGTTCTCTTCATTGGAGACAATCTTGATGGATAATATTTTATGGTCGACTTAATGAGGTTTGTCTGTTTGCATGGCGAGGTAAGTTATGCGAGCATTGTGTCTTTAGCATTATGCCATTCTTCTGACATTGCTGAGAAAATTCTCAGAAATTAAATATCTGAAGGCCAATGGAAATAGTTGGAACTCTTAAAGTTAATTGATCAAATATTTCCAGATAATACCTGATGCATCTTGAGTTATAAAAGCTTACCTTCCAGGAGGTAGAGAGAAGGCGTAGGATAGGATGTTCCAAGTTCCTGGGGATGGTTGAATTAGATATAAACTGCCACATTTTGCTTCATTTGGATTCTAACAAAGAGAAGTATTCCACTAAAAGACTTTATGCTTTAAGTTCTGACGACATATTGAGCTTTGAAGATTGAAGAATGTGTTGTCACATTGTGGCATTTTTTTGGAGTACAATTTTGACCTGTATTGGGAATTTGGTGGATAGAAAGACTCCTGATTCAAAACTTTTCATATTATTCAGGAGATATTCTGTGAGATAGGAAAGTTTCAGGAGGTATCTCCCTTTAGATTAGGGGTAATATTTGGAACCACGTTGATAGCAATTATAGAGTCTGAGGGGCATCAGATTTACTTGCGACTTTTCGGATTCTGTTTGTTCATATCAATGAGATTGTAGATAGTTATATTAAATGGATTATCCTTCTAGACGATCACACTTTCATTTTTAACTTAGAGGGTCAATCTCTCGACCTTTTCCCCTAATATTTTCTGTATATCTATTCTGAAGATACCTTTACAGTTGAACTCACTGCTCCTTCATGGTTTTGCTTTCTACTTGCAGTTGCAAGAACAGCTGAATGCAGTTTACCGTCAGGAAGAAATAGAAGAGTTGTGATTTCAATGCTACTGGAAATTTTGCAAAGTTTCCAGAATGTTAAAAAATCAACAAGAATTGCTTTTGCCATCTACAGGGGATGCCCACTCTCCTCTTCCAAGTTCCAGTAGGAGCTCAGTTGTGCAATATAACTTGTTTTTCTTTGGTTTTGGAACAGCCGAAGAGAGAGTTCAGGTAACACAGCCATAAAGGGCGTGACACTGGCGCGTGCATATTTTCAAGGCTGATGATGAGCATCAATTCTTGCTCATAACAGTCAGACATCAACCCCATACCGATATCAAGTTGGCGATTAATTTTTTGCCAGTCGCCTTTGTTGTTCTGTGAATTGAATGTATGTTGTTGTGTATTATTCTTGTAGTATGTAACTTAATATCATGTTGTATCAAATTGATGTTGGCTGTAATATTCAAGAGCTTGGCGTGTTTTCACTTGTATTATAAAGAAAATAATTCACTGGAGGAGTTTGTGATTCCATGTATTTGTGTTGTAATTTGTTCCAAAAGTAATAATTATACATATAAGCTGCTCAAGATAGCAGTGAGTTTGGCATATCATTCTTTTATTTCTGCTGTGAGTACGGTTTCCTTTGGCTGTTGCATATTATTCTTTTACTTGTGTTTGGCGTATTATTCTTGCCACATGAAATTACAAGCAAAAGCATTGCAGGACAAAAACAGGTTGTGTCATGTTCCTGATTGACTGCTTACAAGGTTGAGTTTGGTCTTTTTTTTCCCGGCTAAATACCCACATTGGTATTTTAATTCCACCCTAATTTCCAACAAGGTATTTTAAATAGGTAAACCTGTTTTAAGACATTTTAATTGATCCAACTAACCAATGAGGCATGGTTTCTCGTCGGCGGGAAAATTTCCGGCGAGATCTCGTCACGTGCATGGCACATGATGTCTCAAAACTCGTTTTTAGCAGCGGCGAAGGCAACAATCTCGTCATATTCAGCCGATTCGATGGGGTTAGGGATCTCAGGCGGCATCATCACCATTATTTTATCCTACTTTGGGCTGAATATGATGAGATTGTTGCCGTCGCCACTGCTATAAATGAGTTTTGAGACATCACGTGCCATGCACGTGAAGAGATCTCGTCAAAAATTTGCCCGCCGACGAGAAAACATGCCTTATTGATTAGTTGGATCAATTAAAATGTCTTAAAGCGGGTTTGCCTATTTAAAATACCTTGTTGGAAATTAGGGTGGAATTAAAATATCAATATGTGTATTTAGCCTTTTTTTTCCCCTGTAAAAGCCCCTGTAAAAGAGCAACAACACTGACAATGTCCTTCAGCTGCTTACTGCTTATACTTCCAAGAGGGCCCCTAGAAACCTAAAATTCCTAAAAATGATGCTTGTTTCATCTATCTGAACTGAAACCCTAGTTAACAAATAAAGTTGACTGGTTCTTTTTTTCCCCTCCCTTCTTTCTGAACAGTTTAAATGAGTGGTTAGTTGTCAGTTATACTTAAATTTTATTAGGTTGAAACTAATAAAAATTGTAAAAACATCGTGAGTTATAGTTCATAAACATTATGAGTTTTAAAACTCATGTACTTCATTGTCTTTTGGTCTAAATTGATTAAAATTGATGATTGGGTCTATTTGTTTCCTTACATTTTGTAACTTTACATTGAAAAATTGGGACCTACAAGACCCCAAAATCTTAAATTTTAACTAAATACATTGTTTAGTTAGCATTTTTTATCATAAAATTAAAGTTGCCATGTAGGATTAATGCATCAATTTTAATTTCATAAAATATGTTGGTTTCACTTTGATTTTTACTGAGGCTTATCTAACAAGGAAAAAAGAGTGATATTATACCATTATCCTCAACAAATTCATGTTTAACCAAGCAAAAAATTTTTTGCTTGGATTTGTCATTTATCAAATCCTCTTCAAGATGCATGCAAACAAACAAGATTATGAATGTGGATTTTTTTAGATCTATGACATGCATTAGAACTAATCCAAGAATCAAACATGGGTTTTAGCATAGGAAAATTGTAAATTTTGATGTATACATGCTTAAATTTCATTTGGCTGAAACGAACAAGAATTGCAATAATCATGGATTATAGCCCATGAAAATCATGACTTTTGAACTAAGTGTATTTAATTGTCATTTACTAACTAAGTGTATTTAATTATCATTTAGCTGAAATGAACAAAGTGTACTTAATTGCCATTTAGCTGAAATAACAAAAGTTGACAAAAATATTGGGTTAGAGCCAATGAAAATCACAAATTTTGACATACTTAATTTTCATTTGATCGAAATAAGAAAAAATTGTGAAAGTTGTGGACTATTACCCATAAAAATCATGAATTTTAGACTGTGCATACTAAATTGTTATTTACTCAAAATGAATGAAAATTGACAAAAATTATAAGTTATAGTCTAATCTAATCCGATTTTATGCCAATTAAAACTAATTAACAAATATATCCTAGCAAGTATGATATGCTACGAGATATGTGCAAGGATATACAATATAAACAAAGGTAAACAATATGATCATGCAACAAAGACGATATAATATTATGCAAGAATAAATACGCCAATGCCAAACTCAAACACAAGGAAATGATCACGGAGTTCGGACCTTCCGTCCTACGTCTCCGCTCCCCACTCCCGGGCTTCTCTACACATTCGGTTTTCTAGCTAACCAAAAACTCTACACACTCGGTTATCAAGTCAACCGACAACTCTCACAAATCCTCACAAAGTACATACACAAGCTACAACCTCAAGTGTTGGTCCTCACGTATCGACTCCCTCAAATGCTCGGAATTATCACCTCTCACTAGGCCACCGATGCCACTCCTCTCGGTATCGACTCCGTCCTCATCACACACTCCTCTCAGTGTACAAGTGTATTACAAAGTGAACTTCACAATTAGGCACACAACAAATGATTGTTCTCTAAACAAGGTGAGAACTCAATTAAGCACAACTCAAAGTTACAATCTCCCACAACCCCAATTATACTATGTATGAAATACTATAAGCTCAAGTGAGTGTGTGTAACAATGAGATTTGATAAAAAAACAAACTAAACTCAATTTAAATCTAGCATATGGAAATTATGAACAAAACAATAAATAGCTAAAAATAGAGTTTAGGAAAACTTCTCTATGATAACAAGAGAGAGGGAGAAGAGTTGAATGCCCAAACACCAATAGATGATCTCCACTTGATCTTGTGAAATTATCTTCACAAACTAAACTCTCAAATGCTTAAAAGCTTTTTTTAAACAAATACTAAACAAAACTTAAACCCTTGTTAAAACATTCTCTTAGATGGTTGAAGAGCTGAAGGCAATGGGGGTATTTATAACAACCCAAGACATCAGCCAAAACCCAACTGAAAAGACAAAAAAGCCCCCAAAAAACACTGCTGGAAACTAGTTGTTACAGTGTAACGGCTCTTTCATAAGTCGACTTATATGAGTCGACTCAGCAGAAGAAAAATCATAACTACGCTGCACTTCGTGAGTCGACTTATTATGAGTCGACTCAGCAGAAGAAAAATCATAACTACGCTGCACTTCGTGAGTCGACTTATGAGTCGACTAATGAGTCGACTAAACATGCACAGACCTAAAGTGCATAGAAAAACTTAACTTTAAACTGGGTTTAAAAATATCAAATAAATTCCAAAAAATATAAAACTTTAGAAAATGATTGTAGACGTGATAATACACATGCTATAAAAAATGGTTTTAAAAAAGGACCTCCCAAATAAAAAATATCATCATTTTACAAAATAGTCCAAAACATAAAAATATGAACACATGAGTTTTGACATTTTAGCTTAACCATGTTTTGAAACATTACAAAATAATTTTATAGACTTAATAAAAGATGTATATGATTATTGTTAAGTCTATATATATACATAGAAACCAATATAATGTGTGTGTATAATATTGAGCTTAAAGTACCAACACACATAATATAAACCTAAACTAATGTTACCCAAGCTTGATCTTGATCTTCAATAAGCTTGACTTGGTACACATTACGGATGAGGCTAGGACTTGGATCTTCAACTTGAATTGCATAGGCTTCACCCACTATTCCGCCAACCTCCATTGGATATGATCGTTAAAGTACAATTCCATCCATCCTCCAACTTGTTGTTTGTCTACTGTGACGCCCCTGAGTTCACACAAGGCTGCAGTCCAAGATAAAACCAAGAATGTCAAACCTGCCATGCACCACACTATGCAATAACATGTTTCACCATCACAATTACTATCCCTCTAGTAGAGTCAATAAAAGGTGTAGGTACAAAAGCAAGTAAAAGATAATACAGAAATCAACAGATGAAATAATAGAGATCAAATTAATATTCCATCATCTAACATACTGAAGTACAAGTCAATGTTTGAAATAAATAAACTGAAATACTCAACAAGTCTCAAATACAAAATATCTGACAAGAGGAAATAAGGCACACAGCCTTTACAACTTCTAGAATAAAACACTCAAATGTCTAAACAAAAGTCTACAATGGAGCTCAAAAGAAAATATAACTATATAGACAGCTGAAGCTAAAATGCATCGCCATCAACCTGCGACTCTCCGGGCTCCTGGTTCGTTACCTGAAAGGGGGAGGGACAACGAGCGTCAAAGCGCTAGCGAGCAACGTCACAACCAACCCCAAGGAAAAGAGCTCTTTGTATGCAAAAAATACAGTTATAATATATATAGAAAAATCACTGATCCTAATTAGGTAATTACAATGTGAGCATAAGTACGTCGAGCGAAATAATCCAAACAAGGAAACTCTCATGTATATACCATATAGCTCAAATTGTAAATACCTATGAATAAGAGGATTTTAGTATTTAGGAAATTACAACACGAGCATAGGTACGTCGAGCGAAATAATCCAAACAAAGAAACCCTCATGTATATAACTTGTATCTCAAATTGTAAATCCCTAAATACCAACCCAAAATCTAATACATGAATAGCAATAAAAGAAGACAAACTCATCTCAGAACTTAATTACGGTGTCATATCACAACTCATATAAGTGTCATGTCCAGTCTATACAAGTATAAGTGTCAACTCAAGGTCTAAACTGATGTCCAACACATGGACAAAAAAGTAAATGTCCAACACGAGGACTGAACAAACTGTGTAAATATCTATGAGATATGTGGAAAGATATACCTATACCAATTTCACACGCGTCTCGGTGTGTAAACTCAAACTTGTGTCCGCATGTTATCTCACATGTAAAGATACAGGTTAAACAAAAATTTTTAATATCTGTTATTCGAGGCAACTCCTCGTTCATATTAAAGCACGCAACACAAGCATAAGCAGTCTCAGTTAAACTGAAACACCCCAAACAGATCCAAACCGAGGAAACTGGAAAAAGTCCTCATCACTCGACTCATGAGTCGACTGGGATTGGTCGACTCATTGGTCGACCAGAGCAAAACACAAAACTATGAATTTTC